TGGCAGCAGCTCCTTCAGTCAACCCCGCCCACTTGCCATGGCCACTCCCACCCAAGGACTAGCGCCGCCCACACAGTCAGAGACCTCCTGCCTGGCTCGACCTGACGGTCGCCCCATCTGCTGCTCTTAGGCCCTGCCTAACTCCACTGCCAACTCCGCCCACTACTCAGTCGTCTCACCCTTTGCTCATATGAATAGTCAAGCACGAAGCGAGAAGAATCTAAACTGGGACACAATCCACATGATTGCAAATGCTTCGGAACAACGGAACAGACTCTCTGAAAACGGTTCTGTCCCAGCTAAGCTCGTACACTTGGTGGCGTTATGCAATCAACTTTGATGAGTAATGTTGTCGTTATGCCTTCCTCTGTTGGCCGTGTCCACCACAGGATGCGGATTTCATCGGCAAGGAAGCCCTGCAGAGGATCAAGAGGGAAGGGCTGACACGGCATCTGGTGTATCTCACCCTGGACACCGATGACGTCGATCCGGAGGGGAATGAGAGTGTGTGGTGCAATGGCAAGGTAAATTTGGTGCACATCTCTTCACCAGTCCACTGTTGAATGAAGGCCTCCCCACGCCTCTTGTTCATGAGGGTTGTTTGACCATACTTCACCACATAGATCAGCGTGGGTCGGTGAATGCTGTGAGCAAAACTGGTTCAGATTTCACCCACCACTGGTGTTATTTGTAAACGGGAATCAAACTCAGTTTGCCGGGTTCGTGTTACAATGCGTAAACCACTGCGCCACCACTCCATCTCATTGCTGAGCTGTGTCCAGTAATTCATCCCAGTAGAATGCAATTGGGATTGCTGATTATCGTGATTCAAACCACTTCCCCACTGGCAAGGGGATAATTTTTATCTCAAACTGATTTTACATTTATTTTCATTTCAGCCAATTTACAATTAAACGAGCCATTCCATGTGTGGCCACATAATATGTTCTCTTATCTCATGCGGTAAGTCAGATGGTGAAGCCTTAAATAAATAAATAATAGATCAATAATTTAACACGTATGTTGTGAGTACATCACTACATACATTTTTTATGTGAAACCCTCATTTGCGTGCGCACCACTCGGCGCTCGAGAAACGTTATTAATTCATGACGCACCAGCGCCTACGCGGACAGCAAGCGCGGACAACGATGCGTTGGCGTTTCCTCTCGTCCCACGCAGGTCGTGGGCAACACAACGTCCGGGGCCTACAGCTACACGGCGGGGCACAGCGTGGCGTTTGCATACGTCCCTGTGGAGCTGAGCTTGGTGGGGCAGCACGTGGAGGTGGAGCTCCTGGGCAAGAACTACCCGGCCACGGTGGTCAAGGAGCCCCTGGTGCTCACCCAGCCCACTCGCCAGCGCATGCAGCCTCCTGCCAACGCAGCCTGACCGTGCCGCCCACGCCCGGGCAAAGAGGTTTCCATCTGAAACTATTTGTGTCGAGAAATGTCTTCTCTTACAAATAACTTCAGTGAGCCTCTCAATCCATACTTGGTTACACATCAAGTATTTAATGTCAATATATTTTTGTATTATCTGAGCTGGAATAAGCTGATTGAATTAAGTAACAAAAAATACAGCTGATTTTGTCCTCGTTTTGTGTAGCACAGCTAAGTAATACCGCAACTAGCCAGACTTGAGAACCTAAGTGAGTAATTGGTGGCTGAAAGCTGGGTTTGAATCCAAAATTTCAGCAATGCCAACTCAGTGCTGTGACCCAGGAGCCAAACGACCACACCTCTCGTGTACCCCTGGGAACGCGATACGGACCGATTACTCGGCTAATATAACACAAAGACAACGTGAAAGTCATTGACGAGAAACACGTCAAGAAACTGCCACGAAGGTGCCTGTTGGGATGACTAACTGATGTCACAAAGATCCTCTCTGAGCCTGCTTAAACTCAAGCACACTCAGAGAGGGTCTTTGTCAATGCATTTCTCGGCGAGTTTGCAGTGCAGTTGAAACGACAGCTAAAATATTCAACCGATTTGGTGACGCTGCATAGGCAGTGTATTGCACAAGCACGATAAACAACGCGACACCTGCACCAATGACTCTGTGACCTTCAAAGGAAAACTATTTAATAGACTACATTTTACATTTAAGGTAAATGCTCTTCTTCACAACACACGGATATATAAGAGACATATCAAGAAACTTGCGGATGTTTACAGCTGTTAACGTTTGCCGTAACAAACTAACCAAATGAAAGAGCATGTTTTGGAAGCTCAAATAAAATGTGAATCTTCAATAATGCATCGCACATCCACGCTGCTCCTCCTGTCCTGCCATTGCCACTGCGCGGGTTGGGGAGCATGCTGCATGCACACGGGGCACGGTCGTGGACGTTGATGTGTAAAGAAACCGCTTTATCTTTTTTAGAACCCAATCGTTGACATTTAAGACGTTTTATACCCCGGTTTACGTCGGGGATGCGTTCCTGAAAGGTGCGGCAACGAATATCGAAACGTCAATCAAAGCGACGTACAGGGGTAGTGGTGGGTGGAGGTGGTGGTGGTGGTGGTAGAGGTGGTGGTGGTGGTGGAGGAGGCGACGGCTGAGAGGCGACGGATAATGAGCTGAGCGTGTATTTTACGTCCGTACTTTCATCCAGTGCTAGTGAATATAATTCAAAGGAATCAGACTTTTTGTTTAATTGACTGGCTATATTTTTATCAGTCAGTTCCACACGGCGAGTCACAGTCCTGCGTGATAAACTGACTTTTTCAAATTTGATTTTGATCTCCGGACACAAGACGTCTGCTGTCTGTACCATGTATTCTTTTACAAACTTGCCTTCGGAGAAAGTGGTAATGAGTGGTTATGTTGGTGAGAAGAAGTTTTTAAAGAAAATTTAAATCGAAGTGAAGAAGGAAATTATTGAAAAGTTTGTATAATTAATGATTTTTCAAACTTGAATTATGTTTTCTGTGCTTAAAACTCTTTTTAAAAAAAACTGTGGGGTCTAGAACGGACTCGTGAAATTCGGAGAGAACTCGGGAGTTAAGTTTTGTTTGTTTTGTTGAATTACACAAAGTGCGCCATCTAATGGGGAAACGGGGGCATTACAGGAGGAAGGTAAAATTTAATTTAATATTTGGACAAGTTCGGCGGGCCGGATTAAAAAGCCCAACGGGGGCCGTACTTTGCCCATGTCTGGTGTAGAGACACACGCCAGGTAGATGTAGACACACACAGCGTGTCGTTTTAGAGACAGACACACACAGCGTGTAGACGTAGAGACACACACAGCGTGTGGACGTAGAGACACACACACAGCGTGTAGACGTAGACAGACACACACAGCGTGTGGACGTAGAGACAGACACACACACAGCGTGTAGACGTAGAGACACACACACAGCGTGTAGACGTAGACACACACATCGTGTAGACGTAGAGACACACACACAGCGTGTGGACGTAGAGACAGACACACACAGCGTGTAGACGTAGAGACAGACACACACAGCGTGTAGACGTAGAGACAGACACACACAGCGTGTAGACGTAGAGACAGACACACACAGCGTGTAGACGTAGAGACAGACACACACACAGCGTGTAGACGTAGAGACAGACACACACAGCGTGTAGACGTAGAGACAGACACACACAGCGTGTAGACGTAGAGACAGACACACACAGCGTGTAGACGTAGAGACAGACACACACAGCGTGTAGACGTAGAGACAGACACACACACAGCGTGTAGACGTAGAGACAGACACACACAGCGTGTAGACGTAGAGACAGACACACACACAGCGTGTGGACGTAGAGACACACACACGTGTGGACGGCGTGTGCGCTGTCCACCGCAGTTGCCGCTGCTGGGCAGCAGTCGGCGCTGTGTCACTACACAGCCATCAAGACACTGGCATTGCGCAACGTGGACCTGGGTATAACAACACGGACAGCACAAGCAGTGTCAACCCTGCGGAGTGCAGCCGGAGAGGAACCTGTCGCGTCTGATTAAACACATTCCTGCTGCGGAGGAGGGAGCTGGTAGGAACGTTGGGTTGCTCGGTCAATGGCCAGGGTCAACAGCGGCGTGGTGTATTCCGCAAATATGCCCGACTGTGAGGGCGGGCACAAGCCGGCGTGAGTAGGTTAAACGTTGAGTTTTATAAGGGCACCACGGGGTGACCAGCCCCTCCCCATCCAGCCCCACCCCTCCCACCCCCCACCCAGCCCCTCCCTGCACGACGAACGGACGGACACAATAATCCCCTGTGGGCTGGTGGAACCAGTGGGTTCCAACCAGTACAAGTGGAACAGAAAGAGCGGCAGGGTGGCGTCGTGGTGACACTCGGCTCCCACGAGAGAAGGGTTCCATTGGGCGGTTCTGTCCCTCTGAGCTCCCCGTCTCCTCCCTCCCGCCAGCTCCCTCGGCCTTGCACAGAGACGTCCCAAGGCTGAGATCTTGCGCGCGAGTTGTCGCCGCTGTCGATCGCACACAGACGAAATGCCCCCTGCTGGAGGCACCGTGCAGCGTGCCTCTTGAGGCGTCCTCGTCCGTCTCGCACCGCCATTTGCTCGGCCGCTCTCACTGCAGCGGTGCACGTGGCAGACGCCGAGTCCTGCACCGGCCCGTTACGTCACAACACGCATCTCAACATACTCTGCATGACGTCACGTGTACGTTCGAACATGCACGATATCGCACTGTGAATATCATCGGCATGACGTCACGTGTACGTTTGAACATGCACGATATCGCACTGTGAATATCATCGGCATGACGTCACGTGTGCGTTTGAACATATACGACGTCGCACAGTGAATATCATCGGCATGACGTCACGTGTGCGTTTGAACATGCACGACGTCGCACAGTGAATATCATCAGCATGACGTTGCGCGCGTCCAGCGAAGACAACCCGCGTGACGTCACGCACCAGAAGTGCAACACATTCTGCATGACGTCACGACGCCAGTTTGAACACTCGGTGAGCTGGCTCGTCGGATGAGCGGTGACGTCGGGGACGGTGGCCGCGCGTGCCGCGCCGCGTCGTTGTGAACGCGTTTTTAAAATCACGTGGCGAGGCGCGGCAGTGAGGCGAGAATCTCCCGGTCCCTCCCTGGCGAACCCTGCGACAGCGGTGGGCAGTGTCACTGTGTGTGTCACTGTGTGTCACTGTGTGTGTCAGTGTGTGTGTCAGTGTGTCACTGTGTGTGTCAGTGTGTGTGTCAGTGTGTCACTGTGTGTGTCAGTGTGTGTGTGTCACTGTGTGTGTGTCAGTGTGACGATTATCTGAACCGGTCCCGGGCCTCCCCTAGGTTGACTCAGCCTCAAATGAGTACCTGGTGCGATGTGTAAACATCGCCACGAGGGAGACAAAGGCGGGCGTGGTGTTGGCCACCCATCCTCTCGTGTACCGTGCCGGCCTTCATAGGAGTTCGTTAACAGCACTTGCCCCTAGTCTGCTAAGGCTATAGGGGGGATCTTTATCTTTGTCACAGTGTGTCACTGTGTGTGTCAGTGTGTCACTGTGTGTGTCACTGTGTCACTATGTGTATCAGTGTGTCACTGTGTGTCACTGTGTCACTATGTGTGTCAGTGTGTCACTGTGTGTGTCACTGTGTCACTATGTGTATCAGTGTGTCACTGGGTGTGTCACTGTGTCACTATGTGTATCAGTGTGTCACTGTGTGTGTCACTGTGTCACTATGTGTATCAATGTGTCACTGTGTGTGTCACTGTGTCACTATGTGTGTCAGTGTGTCACTGTGTCACTGTGTATCAGTGTGTCACTGTGTGTGTCACTGTGTCACTATGTGTATCGTGTGTGTCACTGTGTGTGTCACTGTGTCACTATGTGTATCAGTGTGTCACTGTGTGTGTCACTGTGTGTGTCACTGTGTCACTATGTGTGTCAGTGTGTCACTGTGTGTGTCATTGTGTGTGCGGCGCTGTCGGTGTGTCAGTCTATGCGTGTGTCGCTCTCGGTGTGTTTGACTTGTCAGAGTGTTTGTGTGTAACTCAGCGTGTCGCTGTCAGCGTGTCAGTCTGTGTGTGTCACTGTGTCACTGTGTATCACTGTGTCACTGTGTGTGTCACTGTGTGCCAGTCTGTGTGTGTCACTGTGTGTCACTGTGCCAGTCTGTGTGTGTCACTGTGTGTGTCACTGTGTGCCAGTCTGTGTGTGTCACTGTGTGTCACTGTGTGTGTCACTGTGTGTCACTGTGTGTGTCACTGTGTGCCAGTCTGTGTGTGTCACTGTGTGTGTCACTGTGTCGTTGGCTGTGTGCCACAACAATGTGTTGGTGCATATCGCACGGTGTGCATGTTCCACTGAGTTTGCGTGTGTCTACTAACGTCGTGTGTGCGTGTCACTTTGTGCGCTGTGCCTAACCGTGGCTGTAACTCCTGGACTGTCATTGTAAATTCATCATCACGTGGTTGTGGTTTTAGTGCACCGATTATCTTGCGATCACATCATCGGTTTTGGGCATTGTGGTTGCATGTGCGTTTGTTGTGGTTGTGATTCTGATCATTGCGGTGCTCGTGTGTCTCAGGTGGTACAATAGTTGTTGGTTGTTATTGTTGATATCCGCCTGCGGTGCTTGCTGATCGAGGCCATCGGCGGTGCAGAGGAGGACGAAATGAAACTCTCGCCTCGCCTCGCCCCGGTGGGGCCACACGGCGAGAGAGGCATTGGCTCTGGGTGGTGGGCACAAACTCCGTCTCGCTCACATCACAGGGGGCACGGCAACGCACGAGGCAGCAGCGCAGCGTGCAGTGGCGCAGACCGATATCACATTCGTGTGCGTGTGTCCAGCAGGCATGCTGGAGCCGGGAGGGTCGTCATTTTTGTATTCTTCTGTCAGACGTTACAGACGTGGACACTGCAGCAAGAGAGAAAAACAGCGTGGAGAAGCGATGATGCAAATGGGAGCAGAGTTGATATTAAGAGAGATGGTAACTCGGACTAAACAGGGGGACAGATGGGAGCAGGGATGATGTTAGGAGAGATGGTAACGCGGACTAAACAGGGGGACAGATGGGAGCAGAGATGATGTTAAGAGAGATGGTAACGCGGACTAAACAGGGGAACAGATGGGAGCAGGGATGATGTTAAGAGAGATGGTAACGCGGACTAAACAGGGGGACAGATGGGAGCAGAGATGATGTTAAGAGAGATGGTAACGCGGACTAAACAGGGGGACAGATGGAAGCAGAGATGATGTTAAGAGAGATGGTAACGCGGACTAAACAGGGGAACAGATGGGAGCAGGGATGATGTTAAGAGAGATGGTAACGCGGACTAAACAGGGGGACAGATGGGAGCAGAGATGATGTTAAGAGAGATGGTAACGCGGACTAAACAGGGGAACAGATGGGAGCAGGGATGAGAAGAGATCATGCAGAGAGCCAGGGAGGGATGCAGGGAAGCGGGCTGGGGGGGAGAAGCCTCGCCTGCGATCGCGGATCTTTAATGTTTAATGCGGCGGCAGTGATCGGTGATGCGGCGCGCAGAGACCCGGTGGCACACGCGCGCACACGTGGGTCGTGGATGTGTGCGCGCGCGTTCTCGATTGGCCCGGTGCATGTGCCGTGTACAGTGTTTGTGAATAATCAAGCAAAGGGGTCTGTTCATCCAGACAAATAATCAGAGCATGTTGAATCATCAGAGCAATGTGCCTTCTGGACCATTTTGTGTAAACGTGCTGTACATTTATTGGTGGTAGCATTGCAAAGAAGGACTTGGATGTGAGTCTACGCTGAGAGTGTTATTGGCGTTTGTGTAAATTAGTGAAAGCTTGCACACGTCCTACTATACCGGCGTGTTGTGAATCAAGACCAGTATTCCAGTGTGTCACGAATCAATACCAGTATTCCAATGTGTCACGAATCAATACCAGTACTGCATTCCAGTGTGTCGTGAATCTAGATCCCGATATACCGATGCTTTTAAAGGCAAACGTTCCCAACAGGGAGTCTGTGGCAGTCATCGAGGGAGTTGTAAAATGCCAACGGGTTTGTAGAAGTGAGCATTAGGGGTCCATAGCAAAGGGCAGTGCAGTCCTTTTGTTGAATAACCCCCCGCCCATCGAAGACAACACAAAAACAACACTGTCCAATTGGAAGAGCCCTTATCAGGGAAGTTCAGAGGAGGCTGACATAATCAGTGTTTAGAACGCCTGGGCAAGGCATTTCACAGCTGCCTGTTGTCAACAGTGGCTGTCTAATGTATTGATCCCTACCACAGCAATCGAATCCCCCACTGGTTCAGGGCTGAAAGCGGTCGATGAGCACTGCCCCGTGCTCATTTGACCGGGAAATCACCGCGTGTTGTGTTCCCTAGGAATGCCTCTCGCTGGTGCCGCTGCGCTGCTGTAGGCGGTGGGATCTGTGAGCTGCCGTCCGTCGCGGTGCCGGGAGGAGCCGGAAGGAGCCATGAGCTCGCGATGGGCCCCGTGGGAGGGAGTGGTGCGCACGTGCCAGCGCATGGCGCGGACCAAGACCCTCGACGCCGACCTCATGGAGACGTCGCTCACGCGCTGCCTTTCCACGCTCGACCTCACGCTGCTCGGCCTCGGAGGCATGGTGGGCTCGGGCCTCTACGTGCTCACGGGCACCGTGGCCAAGTCGATGGCGGGCCCGGCGGTCATCATCTCGTTCCTGTTGGCCGGCCTGGCCTCCATGCTGGCGGCGCTGTGCTACGCGGAGTTCGGAGCGCGGGCGCCGCGGGCCGGTTCGGCGTACCTCTACACGTACATGACCATGGGCGAGGTGTGGGCCTTCATGATCGGCTGGAACGTCGTGCTTGAGTACATGATCGGCGGCGCCGCCGTGGCGCGCGCCTGGAGCGGCTACTTCGACGCCATCTTCGAGCACAAGATCCAGAACTTCACCCTCACCCACGTCGCCTCCTGGGACGTGCCGTTCCTCGCCCACTACCCCGACTTCCTCGCCTGCGGGATTTTGTTTATCGCGACAATTTTGGTTTCCTTTGGCACCAAAGTATCCTCTTGGATCAACCACCTGTTCGCCGTCATCAGCATGGGGGCCATCCTTTTCATCCTCGTGTTCGGCTTCACACTGGCCGATCCGCAGAACTACAGCAAAAAGGAGGGCGGCTTCGCTCCGTTCGGATTCTCGGGCATTATGACGGGGACGGCCACGTGCTTCTTTGCCTTTGTCGGCTTCGACGTGATCGCGTCATCGAGCGAGGAGGCTCGGGACCCATCTCGCTCCGTTCCGGTGGCCACGGCGCTGTCGCTGGTCCTCGCCACGCTGGCCTACACCCTGGTGGCCACGGTGCTCACGCTCATGGTGCCCTGGCACTCGCTGGTGCCCGAGTCGGCGCTGTCAGATGCCTTCTCCCGCCGGGGGCACCCGTGGGCCGGCTTCATTGTCTCCACCGGCTCCATATGCGGTGAGGCTGTTGGCAGTGCCCCTTCAGCACTGCATACTGAGCATGGCAAATCCTCAACCGCCAGAGCAGACGTTGGGATTGTAGCTAAGCCCGAGCAGCTGACCACTGTTGTTCCGTTGTTCATGGGGTAAAATGTCTTGACAGGCTTCAAATTACAGTGACAGATCAACCCAGCGTATCATCCCTCTCGTGTTGATAAAATGAGTTTGGATTGGTGAAAAGTCATCAGTCATCCTACAGAGAACCTGATCCCCATCATGAACAAGGTGTAATTTTCACTTTCGGTTCAGGGCTGCTAACAGAGATGAAACCTGCACCATTACCTGTTTAGGAGGAAGCATCTAACTTAACGTCGACAGCTTGTAATGCTGTGGTGAGCTGTGTTTCATCGCTTTAGATTCTCCCGGAGGGAACGAATGACTGGGCAGTCAGACACGCAACAACACAGTACAGAAGAGAATGATTTACCCTTTCTGGCAATAATGCGGGTGTTAAGATGTTCAAACACCAAATAGGCAGCCATTACCAGGCAGCCATTACCAGGCAGCGTGCACAAGGGGGAGGGAGGGAGCCCCGGGTGACAGGGGCAGCAAAGAAGGAGTGACCTCCCGTCCAGCGACGACCCATGGTGTCTTACTGGAGGCCTCCATTAGGTGCCATCCATTTAGTACGTACGCATGGAGCGGGGAGGTGGGGCGTTAACCCAAACGCGTTCGCTTGCGTATGGGGGGTCTACTGACAATGTGCGTACGCATAGGAAACGGGGGGGGGGGGGGTGAAGCCTCGATAACAATTTGTCTACATCGGCCTTCAAATGAGCCACAGTTCAGTGTCTTCAGCTGTCAGACAACAAGTCCTGCCGGGAGAGGTGGGACTGTGGGAGAGGTCTCACTCGTGTGCCACCGTGCCCCTGACTGTTGCTCTCACGCAGCTCAGCAACATCAGTGGCCAAGGCACGCAACTTAATTATTTAATGCAGCCGGCGGTGGACTGTCTGTTTGCTTAAACACGTTAATATTATTAATCCTTGATCGTTTCTGCGTGGATTAAATATCGGCCGTTCTTTATGATTCGGGGTGGGGGGTGGGCGTCAAACGAACGTACACAGGTGGGGGGGGGGGGGTAAAGGGTACGCGTCCGTACAGGGAGGGGGGGAGGGGTCAAGTTTTGACAGATTTTTGCGTACGTACTAAATGGATGGCCTCTTAATGCTCTAATCTCAAAGCAAACGAATGTAGCGCTTGCCCTTTAACACTGTTGTTGTCATTGCTACTCAGCTCAACAATGGACTGTGTCGCTCATTTATTGGACAACTTGCAGCTGATTAAGGATAGCTAAAAAAAACTGACCTTCTCAACAAGGATTCAACAATGTCGTGATTGGAACTTGCCGACTTTGCTGTTTTCGCCAATTTTTTTTTAAATAAGAAATTCAATCTTTAGCCAACCTTCCCGTGAGACCCCGACGATGCCGCGTGATATGTGTTAGCGGTGGTGGAGCGGTCAGCGCTGCGCTACGAACCCAGAGACCCGAGTTCGATTCCCGCTCACGGCCAACACCAGTGACGAATATCTGAACTGGTCCTGGGCCTCCCCTCGCCTCAAATGAGTACCTGATGAGGTGTGTAAACATCGCCACTGGGGAGACAAAGGCGGTCGGACGTGGTGCTGGCCACCCACCCCTCGTGTGCCATGCCGACCTTCATAGGTGCTTGCTAACAGCACTTGCCCCAATAGTCTGTTACAGGCTATACGGGGGATCTTTGTCTTTATATATACGATCGCGTCTGTTTGAACGTCCTAACAGGGCTGTGTTCCAGGATGCACGTGAACATGTGGTGTGTACAGTTACTAATCAGTTTGCATTCATAAAGCATCTTTATGCAACCACATCTCGCATTTAATTATTCGGTGTGCCCGCTTGTTTTGAAGAATTTATGCAGGAATTTTCTGCAGGAAATGCCGTACACTTGCATTTTTGCATGAAAGCCATTTAACTGTGTCAGCATCGTGGATTGGTTTTGCGTGCACTCCTCCCTGCACTAAACGGAAGCTCCCTGCCTGGTCGGCTGGAAAATGTTCATTTAAAGCCTAATTTGCAGTTGTAATACAATGAATTTAACTTCATGTAGCATCATCATACAATCGTATCTCAAAACCCTTGCATAATGTGCCGCATTTACATCACAAGGTGGGGGGCAAATGTACATCTGTAGAACGTCTTTCGCGCCGTACACAGCCAACCGGGCGAATCGGAAGTGGGGGGGAAGGACAGCAGGAAGAAGAAAGATACATATATCGTGAAGTACATTGGTTCCCAGTGTAAAATATACACTCTGCCCAACTCCCAGCTCTCTCCCCGGCCAGGAGTATCAACCCCGTGTCACCGTTTCATAGGAATGTGACATTTCTAGCACTTCCTTGGGGCCTCCAGCAGAGAAGGCCCGCCGCTCCCTTGCCCGTTTTAACAGGGCCGCTGTGACACCTTGACACCTCCGGTCGTTTGTTCAGTACGATAGTCCATGGGCGTGAAGGAAACCTGTCCGCCTAACGTCCGTGATGGTCCGTGTCTCCCCCCCCCCCCCCCCAGCGATGAACACCGTGCTGCTGAGCAGCCTCTTCTCGTTGCCGCGCATCATCTACGCGATGGCCGACGACGGGCTCTTCTTCTCCGTCTTCTCTCACCTGCACGCCGTCACCAAGGTTCCCGTCAACGCCATCGTGGTGTTCGGAACACTGACGGCCGTGCTGGCCACGCTGTTCGACCTGGAGGCGCTCGTGCAGTTCCTGTCCATCGGCACGCTGCTGGCGTACACCTTTGTAGCGGCGAGCATCATCGTGCTGCGCTACCAGCCCGACCGCACCTTGCAGGTGTGTGCCGCCAGCGCCCGGCGCACGCCATGGGGGGCGGGGGCGGGGGGGAGCGGTGCTACCCCATGCACAAGCGATATCCTATTTCACTCTTGTTCTGCGCTATTATTCGGTACTTAGCGCCTGTGTGTCATTGGGAAAATGAGAGAGAAGTTATTTGGGCAGTTGGAGGGAATAATGGAAATGAGGTACAGCTGGGACACAAGATAATTATTCCCAGATCAATTACAAAATCACCCCACCGTCTTCAGGTGGTCTCACCCTCGTGTCTACGTCTTCATCTCACTTCACTCCCCCTCTGCATGCTCTCTGTCTGTTACAGAGAACCACTTCCGTCTCTCAATCCCCTCCGTCGTACTCCGCTCAGAGGTTGCGCCTTTGCCCCCTGGTCTTTTGCACTGTCAATCCCATATCCTTGTTCAAGTCCAGGCTTCCTCTTCATGCTACATTTACACGTCTCAATTCTTTATTCCAAGGCACTGGATAAGAGCTGTGAGTAAGCAGCTGTGCAATGTGATCAAAGCCACAAGACAGCTACTGACAGGCATAAGAGAGTGATGAGAGGTTGTAAGTTAAAATTCTTGTCAGAGGTCAATTCGGCCCATCATCACTGCAGAGCCAATGAACTGAGCACCGCTGTATGGGAAGTCAACGGTGGATGGACTGCCCTGGGATAGAGAGCAGAGCAGGCAGTGACCGCACCCCACCGTGCTGCGCCCGCAGAGCGAGTTCCTGGACATCTCGCCGGACAAGGAAGGCGAGCGGCGCGACACGGCCGGCTACGAGTCGTTCTCGGACAAGCTGCGTCTCGTGGGGAAGCAGCGGGGAGAAACAGACGCGCGGCAGGCCGGCTGCCTCAAGGCCAGGTACTCCGACGCCGCCGAACGACCACGCTGCCCGCAACCGCACCTCCGCCGCATTGTTCTTTGTCATAGATTTTTGGGTTTAACCACGTAATGATCTGGCAAGATTTGGTCGTAAGACCCTCCACTACCCAACACAGCCAAACAAATTGTCATGTGTAGAAGCATTTATCACACCAATCGTAATTTCAGCTCACCAGTAAGTTGAAGAACGATTCTCACAACCAAATGTATCCATCAGATACGACGTTTTGTCGAACGACACCGAGCATCTTCAGAACTAGATCGAGGGAGTCGGAATAAAATCTAGGAAGTCTAAATTATTCTAAATTGTTATTTAGGAATGTGTAAAATCTGGCTCAGGGCTGTAAACGGGAGATGACCACTGCCTCTCGATGCTTGCTCCAGCTGGAAATGACATTGGCTTTGACTGCGGTGATGCTGTAGTGACGGATGTATTCGCTGGCGCTAGGTTTGAGTGTCTTCTGCGGGTGCTGGCGCCGTGCGGCCCGGGCGAGGCGGTGGTGGTGTGCGTGGTGGCGCTGCTCGTGTGCGCCACCTCGCTCGCCTCCATGCTCGTGTTTGGCTCCTCGCACCTGCACCTGCCGACGTGGGCCTTCGCGCTCTTCCTCTCCATCTTCGGCCTGGGCTTCCTCGTCAGCGTGATGCTCATTGCCGCTCACGAGCAGAATCGCGGTCCCACTACCTTCTTGGTGGGTGCCTGCTTTGCGTGATTCACGCAGCGGCTTTCACGTCAGCAGAGCTTTCACTCCACTCGTGAACAAGCGTGTTGTATATTCAGAGCGCTACGTCACCGGCACACGCCATCAACTGTCTTGTGGAGAACAACTGAGGCCCAGAGTCTTCCCCGCGTGATCTCATTGAGGCTCAACACCGTGTGGGACTGCAGGTTCCGTGTGTGCCATTCCTGCCGGCCCTGAGCATGCTCATCAACATCACCCTGATGCTGAAGCTCAACTACATGACGTGGGTGCGCTTCATGGTGTGGATCGTTGTCGGTGAGTTCCAGTGTCAGCCACCAGTGGCAGCGATGGACGTGTGCATTGGGGTGCGGCAGTAGTGTGGTCTGCCACTCGTTGCAGAGGTTAAAATCCCGCAGGCTGCCCCGTATATTACTGCCGGTGTATTTAACTGAAATATAGGCACCGTTTTCTTTGGTCCAAATTTGCCAAATTAGAAAAATTGCCTGCAAATTAATCAATTGAGATTACGCACAGCAATATCAACTCCTTACTGTGAAACTACTGCAGTCTACGTGCCTTCGTGATGGCCTTGTGCTATAAGAATGGCGTGAATACCCAATGAACTAAAATATTTAATTATTATTAAATGATTCATCTATTCCAGGCGATTATTGTCAGAATGTATTCATTTTTTGAATAACAATCAATTACCCTTATTCAAAGTGTATGTAAATGTTTCACTTAACTTAACAGCTAGAAAAAAATTGACAGCACAAACCAGAGAGCAAGTACAGCCAAGGTAGGACACTTGAGAATACAAGCACAGGGGAATTCAGATGAGACGATACAAATGAGACCACAGAAATGAGACTCACAGTACAAGAGTGACAGACTGTACTAACGAGATCAAACATACAGCATGAGTGAGAGAGCCACGTGACCCCCTTGTGTGTTGTGCCGACCTTCCTGGCTGCACGCGAACAGCATTTCCCCCTACATGTGGGATCTTCGTGTGTGTGTGTGTTCAGGCATGTTCATCTACCTGTCGTACGGGATGTGGCACAGCAAGGAGCGGCTGCGGGAGCCGGCTCCGCGCACGGTGACCGCGCGCTACGTCGTCATCCCCAGTGGCCGTCTCTCCGAGAGCCTGCAGCCCGTGCAGCCCCCGGGGGACAGGCCCTGCAGCCTCAGCGACAGCGACAGCGACGCCGAGTTGGACGGCGTCTCCAACCGCCAGAGATAGGTGCCTGCAGGCCTCGGGGGCTGAGGCCTCCTGTAGGCCTCAGAGTCTTTCTGGGACTCGGGGTCTCACTGGTCCTCGGGGACTTACTGGGACTCAGGGTCTCACTGGGACTCGGGGTCTCCCTGGGCCTCAGGGCCTCGGGGGGCCTCGAGGTCTCACTGGGACTCATTGTCTCACTGGGCCTCGGGGTCTTCCTGGGCCTCGGGGGGCCTCAAGATCTGGTTGGGCTGCACGCGAAGTGAAGTTGCCCCTGCTGAGGGCGCAGGGCTGCTTTGTGGAGAACGCTCGCTCGTTGCAGGTGACGTCTGGCTGCACTGAGCACGTGGACGCGTTCAGCGTTTGTCGGAATCCTTAATGAGAGGCGGGCGCCACACAGCATCGAAAGACACCCTCCGCAGTTAATTTAAAGGAAGACGCAATGCAAAAACCCCACATTGGTTGACATTTTATGATGTGAACAAAACATCCATTTATGGCAATGTCCAGTTTAAACGGAGTGAAGGGGTGGGGGGCATGGCTTGAGAAGGCCTTCATCCAGTAGTGAATAGCTACCGGATGACGATGGGGGGGATAGTGCTACCTTTTCAGGTTTTAAATTCCCCTCCGTGCTGGGCCTCGTAGACTGGAGCTGCTCCCACCGCACAGCCCCGTGGCATGCCTGGGCTGGTGGCGCTCTCCTCTCCTCGTGTGTAACGGTAACCACCCTAGAGGGCGCTGTGGCCCTCTGTCTGGCTGTCACATGGCCCTTACTCGCAATTAGCTCTCTTAACATTGGAAGCTTCAGACGCCCTTAAAGCCCATTAAGGCAGTCGAGGTTTGCACCTGCAAGGTAAAATATTTCAGTTTTGTTTTGCGTCTTTCTTTAAACGTTTAATGTGCAATCCCATGTTGAACTAAGTACAGAGCAGTTTGAGTTCTCGTTCACCGTTGTTTGCGCCAAAGTCACTCAAGCTCAGAGGTATTTCAATGTTTAATTGAAAATTGTAAAATTGTTCCTTGGTGTACACAGAACACATATAACTTCTACTTCGTACAGTTGACATGAAAATTGCAAACCATTTTACTTTCAAATATATATTTATTTAAAGCCTTGTCAATCAAAGGTCAAAAGATTTGATGTTTTAAAATGAATGTGTTGGCTGTCGTTGCATGAGAATGGCTATTCCCTGAGACCAGCCAACCAAAACATCAACAGCCTTACCCCGCAAAGAGAAAATACTTCGTCTTTTTTATTATTATTTAGTCAACCTATGTGGTCGTGAGTAGAGAAGCGTTCATGTAATTTAACTTCTCAGTCCTTGTATACCTTACACATTCCGCTCTCTAGGCTCTCTTACCATTCCTGCTGTGCGTGCTGGGCGTATACAAAGACAAAGCTCCCCCGTGTATCCCCTAACAGACCTGAGGAGCAAGTGCTGTTAGTGAGTAGCAGCACCGATGAAGACCAGCACAGCACACGCGGGGGTGGGTGGCCAGCACCACGCCCAGAGACGCCTTCATCTCCCCAGTGGCGATGTTTACACACCGCACCAGATACTCACGCGAGGCCCAGGACCGGTTCCGATAATCGTCACCAGTGTTGGTGGCCCTGAGCAGGCATGGAACTGGGTTCACCACGTATGTACACACACACACAGCCAGGTCCAGTTGTTGAGCTTAGCCACAGGTCTTACTGCACATTCGCCTTGGCCACTGCCTACAACCCATGAGTCGTGAGTTGTAGCCCTGGCCACCCTCCTAGTAACTGCAAGTAACATTTATGCCCACAGGTGGTTGGATTGCTAAGCACAGTATGTGTGCATGTACAGCCCTTTTGTCATTCCACTGCTGGATGAGGACCTCCCACCGCCAAGTGGGTTGTGGGGATCATTTGACCATACTTCACCATATTTGTCAGCGCGTATTCGTGACGGACGGGGACCGTAGACGTGTGACTATAGAAGTACAGTACAGTAAAATATAACAAGTGATTTTCTGCACTGACCTCTGCTGGTCACATAACTAAGTCAATAAAAAACCTGTCACTACAAAGTTGGAACCCATCCAAGAAGTAACCAGGCTCAACCAAGCTTAGCTTCTGAGATCTGATGAGATATTTGGCATTTGAAAAACTACACTTGCATAACACATTCCAGTGAACACACATATTTTGCTAAAAGCGATTGTGTTGCTGTTGTTAGCTTAGTTACAACAGTGCAGGTTTCAGGTTCACAAGCCCGTGGCAACTTCTAAACCGCAGCACGCTCGGAGGAGCAGCAGCTGGGAATGCAGAGCCCCCAGTGCCACCCTCAGTGACGGGGAAACACGGAGACCCTGGAGAGAACTTCGATTCTTCCTCCTGGCTGGGGCCAGAGGTCACTGCATTTCGCTGGACACTAGAGGTGGCTGCGCACTGCTTGTTGTGTTTAGTTTGTCGTCCTTCCCCCCGCACCTCCGATCAGCACGGTTGGCTACGTACGGTGCGAAAGACGCCCGACATATACGTACATTCATCAAACTTAATCATTCGCTTTCTCGCAAACCATGAGCCGACTGTGACATGTTGTGCCATCGCGGTACGGACACGTCATTCAGCGTCCGTTGAGTTGTAAGATGTTCGGGTTGTACCGACAGCGCGTTGTGGGAGGCGCTACTTTGTTGTGTGGGTTACATTCACCTTTTGCACAACGCCGCGCCCGCTCGGGATGCATCGGCCCTTCTCGGCACAATTCCATAAGTAGCCGTGCGCATTATATCTTTTGATACTATTGACGCACTGCACGTTCTGGTGTGTGAATAGTATGTTACAGCTGCTATCCAGATAAAAATGCCCTTCATGATGCTCGGTTTTTTTTGCGGAATGTAATCCCATTTCCTCTTTGGGATTACGTACCGCAGTCATCGCCTCCTCCTGGCAGACTCGTGTCTCTTTGCAGACCAGGCATCAAGTCCCCTTGTGCCGCACAAAGATAGCTGTCACTGGGGGTGCCCTTTCAAATGTGTTCAGATGCGATGCGATGCAAAGCACTCTTGAGACGGACCGGTATGTGATATCATCATTATTACTTACTGCGCGTTGTGACTTTTATTTGTCGTAAGTCCTAGTTTTGTTGTTTTGCACGTACAGGTTACGAGATATAAGAGTATCTCAGCAGGAGTAGCTTGTGTTTAGTGGGAAATTGTGCAATGTTCTGTTTCCTCGTTTGTATATCATTATTATGCAGTCCACCACACTCAAACCTTTTATTTTCCCCCGGGCGTATTTAAGATGAGAAGCTCTCATGTCGATGGAAATCCATATAACTTGGTGGCAATGCATGCAGGCTGAGACAAACTACTATAAAACACCTGTTGATTGGGACAGCGGAGCTGCTGACCATAGCACGAAGCCTCAGTACCACACAAACCCAGTAGAGGGTAGACACGCAGCATTGACACCACGACTCGCGCGATGGCGAATGCAACTGCATTGTTGAACACACCACAGAGTAGCAGCAGCAGCCCTTACTACAAACATCTGTGAATAATCGCAGCAGTGAGATGGTAGTGTTAACGTGTGCTGATGATCCTTACCCAGTGTAAAGCAGTATAACAACCTTCTGCCTTGAAACGTTATGAAGGCCACGTCTTCAGCAGCGTGACTGGCTTGGTCGAGCCACGCCGTGCACACGCAGGCCCTACCGCTGGGCTTCCATGGCTTTGCGGTTGTCCCGCGATGCTGCGTGACGTGAACCCTGCAGATCGATTATTAAAAACGCATTCGAGTGACTCGCTGCAATCGCTAAACCGCGTTGCTGTTGTCCTGCACAAGCACCCACTGTGATTGGCTTCATTTGCATTGACGCGTTCACAGGTTGCATTCCTACTTGTTCTAAAATGTACAGAATTCCATATTTGCAGCGGGAACGTGGATTGTGTCGGACAACGCCCCCCTCCGTGGGCGGTGCACCCACCACGGGCCTTAACGTGACCGAGAGATCCATCAGGATGCGATGGCTTTTTGCGCCACGCGAGGCCGTGGCTGTTTGACGGTTGTGTAAGCCACGTGCTCTTCGAGTCCGTAACCACATTGCGACCCGAACCTCTCCCGTGATCGAACCGCAACCAAAGGCCCACGGAGTCGTGCGTCGTGTGCCGCGCTGTCCTGAAGACACGTGTGGGAGTAGCTTCGTTGTGTCCAGTGAGGTCTGTGCTTGATGTTGACAGTGGAGAGTAGACGTTGTGTTTCACCCTCACTTCGGAATCCGCCTGCCCCAGTGGCCGTGCCCCTCGCACCTCCTTCACGATGAGCGAACGTGGCATCACGTCGTCACGTGAATATTCTGGTGATGAGTTGCTAACGCGCGCCGCCTGTCACGGGACGTGCCTGTCACTGATGTGAGCCGTGGCGGTGTGGACAGCGGCGACTGTAGATGACGGGGACTGTGACGCCGAGACGTGAATTGTCCGCTGTGAAGAGTGCGCGTGTTGTGAGTCTACTGGTACGGTGGTGGTTGTGTCGGTCGACACGATGCCGACCGCGCTGGAGGAGGAGGAAGGCTCTGCCACTGTCTGCGTCTGGATCAGTGGCGGATCGAAGGGGGGGAGGAGGCGATGGGGGTAATAGCCCCCCCCCCCACCCCAAAATCAAAAAATTAATTGGTATTGCAGGTACACTGATATATTCCATAGAAATTACGTTCAATGGTTTGTGTTGTTATCATTGACGTGTGGCCATATTTTAAAAGCTTGACATTTCGGAACCGCGCCCCTACCATGGGAAGTTGCTCAATTCGCCTCTGGTCTGCACGTGGCTGGTGAGTGCAGTGGGCCGGGAGAGTGACTGGTGCTTACTTTTATGTTATTTAATGGTTGTCGGTGGTGTTGTGTTACGTTAACTTATTTCAAAGTGATTTGAAATCTTATATATTTTTTTAAAAACTGGAGTAATTTACATTTTACAAAGGTTATGAATTATTATTGTCCTTGTAAAGTATGTAATAAATGTGTACCGAAGCATCTCTGATTCTTCCTGCTACTACTCACACTCTTTTTGAAATGTGATTCACTTGTGAATGTATGCACGTGTGTGTGTGAGTAACACATTCCTGCGGAGGGAGCTGGTAGGAACGTTGGGTTGCTCGGTCAATGACCAGGGTCAACGGCCACGTGGTGTATTCCGCAAATATGGCGGACTGTGAGGGCGGGCACAAGCCGGCGTGAGTAGGGTTGAACGTTGAGTTTTATAAGGGCACCACGGGGTGACCAGCCCCTCCCCACCCAGCCCCACCCCTCCCACCCCCCACCCAGCCCCACCCTCCCCACCCAGCCCCTCCCCACCCTCCCTTCTCCACCCAGCCCCACCCCTCCCATTTTTGGATGCACGACGGACGAACACAATAATCCCCTGTGGGCTGGTGTAACCAGGAGGTTCCTACTAGTATAAAGTCACATGTCATGACCTGTCCAGTCGGACACCAGCACGCCACACTGAGACACCACGGTTCGGATAGCAGCTCTGCCGGGAAGGGTACAAGGCGACATTTCAACTAAACCTTTTTTTGTATTTTACCAGGTACGGCCCACTGAGCGATGTAGCTCTTTTTCAGAAGCAACCTGACCACATGATAGCCCAACGAAGTGGCTTATCATGTGGCAATGTATAGCAGCCAAAGACTCTAAATGCGTGATGTTGATTCTAAATGTGGAGGGAAACACCGGGGGACCCAGAAAAAAAAACCCTTTGGTCAATGTGACTGGTTTCCTCTCGGGCAGTTTCCTAACAGCAATACGACTTTAAACTAAAGATTAGTTCATATTGGGGCATCTTCACAAAGAGTTGTGATGCCCCACTCACCCTCTGTCACAGACGTAATGAAATACGGACTGAGCTACTAAATTCACCCATTCAGCTTTCGTTGGCACGCGTCAATAACAACCCCAGCTCGTGAAGAGAGAACCCCAATAAGAGCGGCCTCTTTAAGTGCCTGTCATTAAATCTGCCCCGTAATGTGTGGGGCTACCTCTGTCACAATGGCTTCTAAATGATGGTTTGCAGTGATAAGCCTGTTTAGCAGTGCCTTTTAAAGGGCCGTGTGTTTGTGCTGTTGGTTAGGCCTTGTCTGATGGCCTCCTTTGTGTCAATGTCCTCTTCCTCGTTCCCTGCAGGCTTGGGCTTGCCAACAGTGGACACAAGCACTCCCTGTGCCACGGAGCCGCATGGACATCCACTCGCACATGAATACAAACACAAAGCCACATGCATAGAGCAGCTACTCAGTGTACTCAGTGTACTCAGTGTACACACGGTTGGCTATGTACGGTGCGAAAGATATTCAACGTACATGGTGTGAACATTTGCATGTGTGGTTACTTTAAAATTTGTTGAAACCTCTACCTAAATTAATGACACTGGGTCACATCTAGTTTTTTTTCTATTGTTAATACCATCATTTAACATGACTAGTATAACCTAACGTGTATAAATTTACATTCACTGTTAACTGTTACACTTAACCGATGTTAGTAATTATCACAGCTGTCTACGAAATGGCAAGCTGGGTAAGTCATCCAATGAAGGGAGCCTTCCCGATGTCCAGGAGAGATGCCGCTGTGCCGGATTGCTGTTGTGATAGAGAGGTGCCACCTGTCTGGGATTGACCTGGCATCAGTGGTCGCTCGGTGGTAGAATGTATTTGTACTGAGATCTGTTAGCACTGTCTTGGAGCTGAATTGCAATACGCTGCACAGTTTTGAAAGAGCTGGGCTGACTGAACAATATGTCCGGGCTTGGAGTGTTACAAGAGCCCATTCAGGCAAAATGTATCTTTGTCGAGGTTTAACTGGGTCAGACAAGTGCAGACTAACAAGAGTACAGAGTTCAAACAAAATATGACATATACCTCTGCTATGGAAAATATGACAGCTGCACAAATATTGGCGCTGGCAACATTTAAAAAATGAGGTACAGCTTAGCATCAAGGAGGGGGTCACAGAGATCAGTCTGAGAGTTTGGCCAGAAAGGCCGTGGGGTTTGTCCAGGGCCTACCCCAGAGGACTTTGAGCCATGGCCTGAATTTATTCTTAAAATAACGAGAGTATTAATGTTTAATTCTGAGATCTTAATTATGCTTTTAGTGAAGAGGCGATACAATCTAATGAGAGAGTTGTGTGTGTGTGTCGGGGGGGGGGATACGATTTGAGTCTTAGTTACGTAACAAAGTAAAGTTGTGTTATTGACAACGAACTATACCGTCCGGGTTGGGGCACACAACGACAATGAGCGGCATTCTGCAGCCTCTGCTCCCATTCTTGAGCTCTGCTGCCCCAGAGTTCTGTTTAAATTTAGTGTTTTAAAGATGTCAATTCACCTGCTGTGTATGTTACTACTGTCCCTCCCGGCCATATCTAGTGCCACACTCAACTCTACAAATGGCTACCCGCGTTACTTCGCGTCAATACTTATTGCTAAATTTGCAACTACACCTGCTAATGAAACAACTTATAGACACTTCTACACTCCATCATTATATCCTTTTAAACCCTATCTTTGTCCCATTACTTCACCAGCACTCCTTCCAAACTTCATTCTGCTCTTAAAAATAACACCATCTGCGAGCTGCTGCTATTCGTCCAAGGTTCGTCGCTCTTCATCCTTTCACAGAAAATACCTGTGCAAACTATTAATTCTACTTTTCTTATTTCTGGGTGGTATTGAGCTTCATCCTGGACCAAATGTAAAGAACTCATATAATTCTGTAGATTGTTCTGGCAGAAAAGGTGTTGGTGTTCTACATGTCAACATCAGAGGGCTTTTGATTAAATTAAGTCAACTAAAACTAGAAGTAGCAAATCTTGACCCGGACATATTTTGCCTAACAGAAACATTTCTCACTCCTGCCGTCAATGACTTGCAGATTACGATTGACAACTACAATCTTTTTCGGCTTGACCGAGGATCTAAAGGAGGTGGAATTGCCATCTATGTTCGTAATACTATTGCATGTTCACCAGCTCACTCCTTGTTTAAAAAATGTTGCTTTGAAGGTCTGGCTCTCAGAATAACTCTCCCTAATAATCAACACATATTGGTAGTGTGCTGCTATAGACCGCCTAGTGGGAAGGATGTTGAAGCTGCATCTGCACTGAGAGAGCTTCTTGGGGGCCTCCCTAAAGGTGAAATAGTTTTAGTGGGTGATCTAAATTGGAATTGGCTAAACCCGCCGGCCGTGGCCACAAATTTTGCAGATGAATTTAACCTGTTTCAATTAATAAATGTCCCCACAAGACCCAACCTAAAAAATCCGGGACAGTCATCTCTGCTTGACGTCCTATTGACAAATGCCCCTCACAATTTCGCACTGACTGGTGTTCTAGGTAATAACCTTAGTGATCACTCCTTCATTTTGGGGTGAGATCATCAGCCAGACCCAAAGCCCCCCCTAAATTGGTTGAGAAGCACTCCATGAGACACTTCAGCACTCAGGCATTTACTAATGATGTGCTTCACTCGGATATTGACAAGGTCTGTGATATTCCAAACCTGACTACGGCTTGGGAGACCTTCAGGTACACGTTTCTCCAAATTCTTAACAAACATGCTCCGTTGGGTAAATTTAAAACTAAAGGCAACCGTCCACCATGGTTTGATCCTGTGATTACAAAGCTCATGAAAACTAGGGACAAGGCTTGGGCATGTGCTCAGAAAAGTTATTTGGTCAATGACTGGCTAGAATACAGGATTTTAAGGAATAGATGCGTCAAAAAAATACGGCATGCAAAAAATAACTACTTCTCTTCCACTCTCCTTGAATCTCATGGAAATGCCAGGATTTTCTGGAAAACAATCAAATGTATCGAAAAGGCATCCAAAACAGATCATCTGCCCGTTCAGCTTAACCGAAATGGGGAATATTTTTCAGATCCCCAAAAAATAGTTGACAATTTTAACCTTCATTTTTCTGAAGCTGGTACCCTATTTGATAATGTATTGGGAGTCACCCCTGCTCATGCAAATTCCTACACTCCTGTCCAAACATTAAGAGAATTTAGTTTTCAGCCAATCCACGAAAGTAATGTTTTGAAACAACTGTCCTACCTCAAAGGGTCCTCCTCTACCGGAGCAGATAGTATTTCCGTCTTTGCTCTACTAACTGTTGGTCACCTAATATACAAACCTATAGCCCATATTTTCAACCTGTCCATCAAAGAAGCATCCGTTCCTCTAGAATGGAAACATTCCTATGTTCGTCCACTTCACAAAGGGGGCCCTAAAGATGATCCAAATAACTACCGACCTATCTAAATTTTGTCCCCGTTGATGAAAATTTTTGAAAAATTATTGACCTACCAAATTAGCAGTTTCCTGTCCGCCAACAATCTATTACATCTAAAACAATCTGGGTTCCGAAAAAAATACAGCACCACATCTGCTGCATTAGACTCTCTGAATCACATTTACAGTAGCCTTGATAATAAGCAGTACTGCGCCTGTCTTTTTCTTGACTTGTCCAAAGCTTTTGATACAGTAGACCACAACATCCTGCTTAGTAAAATAAGTTGCCTCGGTTTTTCCGAAAACACAGTAAAATGGTTAAAAAATTACCTCTTTTCTCGCACCCAAACTGTATTCACAGATGGTTGGAGGTCAAACAGTGTTAAGATAACAAAAGGGGTTCCACAGGGTTCCATTCTCGGCCCCCTCTTGTTTTCTCTTTATGTAAATGACTTGGGCACTGAACTGGATTATTCCAGGGTAAATCTTTTTGCAGATGATACGGTACTAATTACTGCTGGCCGCTCTCCGGATGACGTGATTGCTAAGCTCCAGAGTGATTTCAACAAACTACAACATCAGCTAGTTGCTCTTAAACTAGTCCTAAATCCTGCCAAAACCAAGGTGCTATGCTTCTCACCAGGACTTAAGCGGGAAGTTATTTTTCCCCAATTACATACCTTAAATAATGATCAAATAGAGCAAGTCAAGATCTATAAGTATCTTGGGGTCATCCTGGATTCAAAACTGAATTTTGAAGATCACATTGATTA